TTTTTGCGGCCGGAGCTGGTCGTAACCCAAAAAGTTCATTAACAGAGGCGTTCGTAACCCAAGGTACCACTGTATGTTCTCTCTGCCAGATCTGGTGGGGCTTTCAAAAACCACTGAGGAGAGGCAGTCCCACAAGTAATTGATCCCATGCCATGTTAAAAGTGACAACCAGCACCTTGAATGTAGCTCATGTAGCAGCAGGGTTACATGGGTGTAAGATGATGTGCTCAAAACTTTTCTGGACCAGAAAAAGCATCCAAAGGGCAGCCCCATGTAGAGCACATTGCAATAGTCCTATTGGAAGGTGACTAAGGTATGAGTGACTGTGAGCAATGCCTCCCAATCAAGGAACGGGTGCAACTGGTGCACAAGATGTGTTTGTATGAAAGCACTCCTGGCCATGGCTACCACTCATCCACGAGCAGGAGCTGTAAATCCAAGAGAACGCCCAGATTGCACACTGAGTGAATGTAACTCCATTCAGGGTCAGACAATTATTTGATCTGGAGGGCCTTAAAATTCACAGTTACTCAGTCTTGTCAGGGTTGAGCTGAAGCTGGTTTTTCCCCATCCAGATCTCCACAGCCACTAGGTGCTGGGAAAGCACCAGTGACCAGCCTGAGACCAAGATGTACAACTGAGTATCATCAGCACACTGAAGAAACTAAAACCTGCACCAATAGATTACCTTACCCAGCCATCTCATGTAGATGTTAAATAGAAGCAGGAAAGAATTGAGTCCTGTGACACCCCACATACAGAGGCCTAGGGATGGACCTCTCCCCTACCAACATTGGTTAGAACCAGCCTTGGAAGAAAGAGGAGAACCACTGAAGAACAATGCCTTCTAATCCCAATCCCCTCAACCAGTCAAGAAGGACTGTATTAAAATGGTATCAAAAGTTGTCAAGATATCAAGGAGGGCCAGGATGGATACACTAAACTCATCACAAGCCCACCAGAGGTCATCAACAAGTGTGATCAATACCATCCCAATGCTATACCCTGGCCTGAACCCTGACTGCCAGATAATCCATTTCCTCCAGAGTCCTTTGTAGCTGCAGTCTACCACCTTCTCAGCAACCTTCCCTAAAGGGAAGATTGGGACTGGATGAAAGTTGTCAAGTACAGCTGGGACCAGAGATGACATCTTGAGGAGGGGATAACCACCACTTTTTTCAAGGCAGGCAGACCACCTGCTTCTACATAGAGGCATTCAGCACTGCCTGAGCCCAGCCACCTGTCACCTCCCAGGAGGTCAGGACCAACCAGGAGGAACACAGATCCAATGCACAGGTGGCAGAACTCAACATCCCAAGGACCCTGTCCACTTCTTGAGGAGTAACTGGATTAAACGTGTCCCAAATAACCAGACAAGACTGAACCCGTCACCTCTACAGGATCAGCACAGCTGCAGTCCAAATCCAAGTGGATCCAAGCAACTATCTGTCAGATGCATAGCATAATCCTTACAACATCCCTGCAAGGGATCCTCCAACCCTTCCTTATCCAAAAGGGACTGAGCAATCTGTAACAGGGTTACTGGGCATCAATCTGTTGATGCCATAAGGGTGGAAAAATAGCATGTGCCATTGCTCTTATTGCCACAAGATACTCCTTAATGCACACTGCTACCTATGCTCAATTGGACTCCCTCTTTGTCTTCCTCTAGACTTCTCTTGTGCTGCTTCACCTCCCACAGCTTTGAAAATCAGGGGACCCTCTGGTATCCACATGCACAGAAAGTCCACATGATCCAATCCAAGGTTCCTGACACCAGCTCATTGCAAGCTGTGACAGGCCTCAGTAAAACCATGCACCAAAGCTTCAGGAACAACTCCAAGTTCCCACTGGAACCCAACCATGTCCATCAGGTACCTAGGGTGGACTGATGGAATAGGTCCTACCCCCTGTAGCAGGGCAGCCAGAGAAAACTCCAAAGCTAACAGGGAGTGATCTGTTCATGTCAGGGGACAGATGACAATATCCCCCAACTCTCAAGCACATTGCCACTGCCCCAAGATAAAAACCAGGTCTAACATGTAACCCCTCTATGTGTTTGACTGTTAATTACCTTGATCAGGTCTATGGTAGCTATGGCGGCCACAAATTCTTATTTCCAACTCCAGGACAAAGGAAGGCAGGTTGAAGCCCCCCATCACCATAAACCTGGGGAACAACAACATTAGCTTGGCCAGAGAGTCAAGATACTCTAGCAGTGAAGCCGCTGCAGAGTGGGGGGGGGGGGGTTGTTGATACAATCCCAACTGATCCCTACAACCCAACTTTATAAATAGGATTTGACCTTAGTTGGGTACTTTCCTATTTAAGGAACTGAGAGCCATCTTGAATTTTATTTTAGTTACTTGGTATGGAATTTTGTTTAGCATCTCTCAGAGCTTCTTATAGTCAGCTTTTCCCAGATCCAAGGTGCAAATTTCATTGCACTCAGTTTTGGATTTCCTCAGTACTGAAGTTCTAGGATCATACATAACTGTTTTGCCCTAATGATCCTGCTTCATCAGCTAACTCTTCCTTATTTTTCAAAGACAAATCAAGAAAGCTTAAATTCCATTTCCATTGGTTGTATATAAAAGGAGCTGGATTTTAGGCTAATTTCCTTTTTATCCATAGCTACTTGATTGTTGATTCAGAATGTAAGATCCAAACATAATGTACAGAGTAATTCCCTGTTATGAGATAGAGAGACAGACAGACAGACAGACAGACAGAAAGAGAAAAGTTATAGTACACTGACTCTGGTTTCTTCTTACCTTTCAGAGTTGCTTTCTTAAGTACCTTCATTGCATAGAGCTGCCCAGTATCAGATCCTTTGATTTTTCTCACTAGAAATACCTGCAAGGAAAAAATCCAAAGGGCACTTTAGGAGCGAATAGAAGGGCACTTTAATGAAGTATATTAAAAATAATGGCATTTGTTGCATTTGCTTAATGTAAAGTGATCCTGCCAGGTGTGTGATCAAGTATTTATTATTTATTTAGAAAATCTACATGAGGCCCATTTCCTTAACAGTTCTTTGTGGCTTATAAAAATATAATAAATACAATCATAAAAGTATAATTACAACAAGAAATATAAACAAAGATAAAAAGTACTTGATGTCAAAACACTGCAGCATAAAATCATTTGCCCTCCCTCCCCCACCCCCTGCAAAAAAGGCCAAATTCACAATTTATATTAATGGTAAACCTACATGTGCCCTTAAGATATGGGTCGGGTTATGTAATAGAAGAAAAGCTTGTAGGAAACTGAAGCCTAAACTGTGTAAGGTTTATACATCATGATGGACACTAGAACTGGGCTCAGAAGACAAACGTAGAGGATATGTGGGATATTTAAGAGGCTCCACTCACCACCTTGGGCCATTTTGGGGGCCAGTAGTAATTTTTAAGGACTGACCCATTATCAGTTTAGAAGGTCAGGAAGTTATCATTCTACTACTCAGAAGAGAAAGAAGGGTTAATTCAAAACCCAAGTTTTATCCAGAGAGTTCTTTAATATAATCAGGTTTTCATATCAGTTTTGTACTTCAGATACTGTATATACATACACTCACCTAGATAGTGAAATAAGGATTCTAGTGGCAAAATGAAATCAAAGAGCTTAAGGACCTGATTTTTCTCCAAATAACAGTTTTTATGTGCTGAATAATAGAAAAAAGGGCCCCAAATGAAAAACTGGATACGAAATATGCCCTTAGTCTAACTTTATGGAGTTTGATATTCACTCTTTATTTCAAAATGATAGGAACAAAAACAAATGTACTGAATCTCCTTCCCCAAAATAAAAATGCATACATCTATGCCAGCTAATATTCAATAATCCAGTATAAACCCACAGACCCTGATTCAGACATTTGCAACAACAAATATCTGAAAACTGCAAGGTATATCCTCTTGAGAAACATGATTAACATTTTGAAAGTTCCCTCTCCCCAAAACCTTTTTAGGGAAAGCCAACCTATTGTTCAGTAACGTAGCTCTCTCTAGCAATATCCACTAAAAGAGGAACAGCTGGAACTAACAAAGTTACCTGCTCATTCCTTCAGTAAGAGCTCTCAGAGGAAAAGTTCTGCATTGGATTATATATTTTAAAAAATCACTGTACACAGGAATTTACCTTGCTTGCTAACGGGCATCCTAACTGAGAGGAACCCCTTTCCTTTGCTAGTTCAATTTCCAACCTAACATCTGCTCAGAAAACCAACTCATTGGGTAAAAGATTGCAATTAGATTGCAATATTTCAGAAGATAATGAAACATATATAAACTCTCTCTCAAATAAAGTTCTAAAATAGTTCATTTTTGTTGCACTATGGTCATCTTATTTTTAATCAATTCCTCAAAAGTTGTTTAGTTTTTAAAGTACCACTGGCTGATTTTTAAAGGTATTCAACCTTTAAGATTATCTAGGAATTCTTCACAAATTAAAATGGCTGCAGTCTTTTAATAAAATTGACAAACCTTTCAAGAGTGAATTATACTATATTCATGGAATCTGAAACATTATGGAGAGTGGGAGAAAAACACAATACATTTAATTTTATTTTGTATAGCTTTGCCTTTCCATAACTATAGAAAGCATAGCTATAAATACAACTGTATATTTAATAAGATATAGTCATTTGTCAGCTGTTCCCTGTAATATCAGGTAATATTGCATTTGATTGTATTCCTCTTGAAGCACAAGTCAAACACAATGCACTGTTTAAGAAGACATATAAATAATGATCGAACCTACAAAAAATACAACAAATGAAAATGCAAAACAACATTACTACCTGATTATTCCTACCAAGAGCTATCAACTGCAAAATAATTTCTTATAATTCCATTAGCTGAAAGACTGTGGTTCTCTTGAATGCAGATACATTTCAAAATATGATATATTAGCTTGGCAGATAACTGGAACACTGAAATACTGAAAAGTTGTGTAGCTGCAGGTTAGAGAAGAATACTTTCTCTGCTTCTCTTCAAAGAGTGCTGGGTTTAAAAAGGAAATGGTAGGGAGAATTGGATTTACCCACAAATGGCAGTTCTCAGGAGACTAACCAGTACTTTCCTTCCAGTTTTGTAGGTTCTATCTAATGTACAACAAGTAGAAGGTAGCTTATCCAAAAATATCTTCCATGCTTTATCTTCCATGTTTCCCTATTTCAGATTACTATATTCCCTGAAAATGCTCTTTGGGGAATCAAGGTTCTCTCTAACAATGGGAGCTAAACTGAAGGTGCAGGGTAAGAGGGGGCAAGTGTGACATCTAGGATGCCATTATTTTGGTTTCATATGATTCACTGACAAGGCAAAGCTATTGTCCTAAAGTTGAGGGTCTGAGTGCAGCTGGAATAATGGAAGGTGCCAGAAGACCTGGAACTTTCCTTCACCCCCCATAGCTTTAAAGGCCTTATCCTTGAGGAAATATTAAGCTGACCCTTTAAAAAGAAGTTTGGCTGCTTCTAAGTTTTTGGCAACATGAAGGAGAGTGAGGAAAGAAAAGCAGATACAGAGGAAGCAGTCAGAAGGGAGGGAAAAAAAGAAAGAAAGCTGAAGATGCTAAAAAGAACCTGTGTGATTGGTGGAATGGTGACCCTATATGTGACTCAGAAGATCCTAATGAAGATGTGGTTCCTATGTCTGAGATGAGTGAATGTGTACTCTGTGTCTGGTATGGTGGTCTGACTATCTGGAGTATTATGAATGCAAGCAGGCTTCACAACAGCATCAACTTCCAGAATTCCAACCAGCTGCTATGCATTCTGGGAATTGATCCAACAACTTGGAAGGCACCAGATTGGGGAAAGCTAAATTACATATAAAGCATTACCTTTCCATAGGAGCCTTGACCCAATACTTTCAGTAGCTCAAACTGAGAGGGATCTGCTTTTTCAAAACCTTCCTTGACATGATGACTGATGTCTATCTCCTTCACGATGCTTTCTTCCTGTGAATGAGGAAAACAAACTAAGGCACAGTTCTTAGCACGGATACAACTAATTATGTCACTTAATTCCTTTATGCAATTTTCACTTTGAGGCTAAGAAGCATACTCATGTGAACCTATGAGTTCCATTCATCTTTGTGCACAAATATTTTCATTTCATGTGTTAAACATATTGAACCTGAGTGTAATTTGCTTTTATCTATGAAATATGAGGATTTATTACTAAATTAAAAGAAAAGTAAATCAAAACACAGCAGTCAGTTCATGAAGCTACTAGGTTGAATAAGCTGTTCCATCACAAATCTTGTTTTCTTTAAAGTCAGGGGAAATCAAAGGACAGGTATTACTGTCATCATCAGATTTAGAGGTTGACTTGTAGGTGTACCCTAGAAACAAGATTTGGAAGATTAAAAAACCCAAATTTGACTACATTTCAGCTAATAACTGCAGAATATTTGGTTTCCTTGGTCAGCCATGCAGTAAGGGCAAATCTTTATTGTTGATGTGTCATATTTTTAAGTTGATCCATCAAGAACCCAGAATCCTTATGCTCTTATTGCAGGTGCCAGTCTGTTGAAACTTGTAGGCTGAATTACACCAATAAAGACAACAGTAATAAATCCCTCCAGTTAGTTTGGAAGAATACTTGACAAAGCATATACACAGATGTCCCCAGTTCATAGAGGAGTTAGAAAGAACTTTTCACCTCAGTGCTAACTCAGCATTATAAGAAACCCTACATTTTATGTCAGCTGTAACATCTGGCTGAACTTCTTCCCTTATGCCATCTTTAGAACTTTTAATGTATCTGTTTTATATATTCTAACTGGATCCAATATAGGTCAAGAGATGCCTAATATCTTACATTATGAAGCTGAACATATATGACACTTTAATCCCTGCTTTTTATAAAACTGTCTAAAATGAAGATAAATTGCTATTAATTATGAGCGCACAGAGCTATAAATTCATTCAGTTAGTACAAGGAACTTTGTCACTGAAAGCCAGAATTACATTATTCCTACATAGACAAAGAAAGCAGATTTTTCTCAAGAGAAAGGTGAACCATAACTAATGATATATTCCTTAACATGTAACAGTGAATAATACCTGCCAGCCTTATAGCAGATCTATTAAGTCTTTTTGTTCTACATAAAGTGTTGTTATTGTTGTATGTCATATAACTTAAATTGTCTGATTAAACGATGTGGCCTGTCCTCTATGAAGCTATGATGGAGGGCATTGCCAGCCTAGTCACCTTGCAGATCTGGAACAGGTAGAGAGTATCTCTGCCTAGACAGCAAGGTGTCTTGGATTAGCCTTCATACATAAACAATCACTTTATATATAAACAATTACTGGAGGTTTTTTTAAAAATAGGATATAATAAATGCCATTTACAAAGGACAGAGCTCAACATACATTATTGCTGAATTTTCTTTTGTTATAATCCTGTCTCCAGTTATAAACTCAAAGTCACGCTAAAAATTTCTTTATTGTTATTCTTGAGGTTGGCAAAGCATCTAGAAAAACAGATCTGGACTAAGTCACAAGGTTTTAAATCATAGTTTGCTGAACAACTCATGGCAATCTGGTTTGTATATTTCTACTAAACTACATAATATGCTCAGGCAAAAATAAACATGCATTACATGGATCTTTCTCACTCTCTTTTGTTAATTAGCTTTTTCCCTCTTTTTTAAAATCATGTTTAGTTTCTTTAAATCACTAATATGTCAGGGTTTTCTTTACTGTACAACCATTATTTATCTTTTTTTCTGTTGATATTGTAGGGTGTTTTTATTATTTCACTATTACAAATAAAATTTAAAAAACCAAAAAGAAACAAGCCACATTACAGCTGGGTGTGATGTGTGAACCTGATCCAAGGCTGTCTAGATTGGTTTCAGGGTATAAAGGAAGTGAGAGAAGCACCATACTGAATTCTTCAAAATACTCTGAATATGTGATCTGTTTTAAATCTGCTTGATTGTTTAACTCCTGCTTGCATTCATGCTGAGCAAAGATCATATTTTTTATGCCGTGCCAGAACAAGAACCACCCAAGTTCTAAAAACCTGTTTGATTACAACTTATTCTTACAACTTAACTGAAGGCAATTTTTCTTAACCAAATGCTTTCAATTCTGTGGAACTACTCTCTCATCAGCTCTAGCCAAGACAGATATATCAAACAGAAATTATGAAAATGAATGTTCAGATGTGCTGAGGAGAATGGGAATTGAAATCTAATATATTTCCAGGATTCAAAATTGAAGAAAGAGGTTTCAGGTAAATTTCCAAATTTTTCTGCGTTCAGGTCAAACAGGATACTGCCTTGTTTAGGATCAGTAGCAAAAGCTTTTGAACTCCTGATTAATGAGGGGAGAAAAAGGGGATACGTAGGAGTCGTAGGAGGCCAAAGGTTAGTGAGATCCCAAGATCCGAGAGATTTGTGGACAGAGTCTACATTTAAGGTCAGAGGTGCCACAATTAACGGCTACCACTTTAACCGGACAATCAAAGCCCCATATCTTTTTAATGTGTGATCCTTCTGGCCTTTTGTAGGGCATTAAAGACCTGGATGTTCTCTCAGACACTTGGGCTGCAAAGTTAAACTACCTCTGCTGGTGGATTTGTTTGGTCTGAATTAAAATGGGGCTGTTTTTGGACCCAGGCATATGTTATTACTCAATCTATTTTCTTCTCACTTTACTCCATGTCAATGTCATTTTTGCCTCTGTGTTTTTGTCAATTTAAGTTAATGACCCCAGTAAGCAGGGGGTGAGTGTCTTGACTTGACTAATTTGGATGTTGTCATTGCCTAAACCAAAGAATAAAATCTCTCGGGATTATATTTTAACTGAATAGTTTTACTTCCTTGTGTGATGAAAGGGTATTTTGTTTTGTTTTTTAAATAGAGTTTGAATGAAAGTTAACTGACCATTTCTTTAAGAAGGCAAACATGAAGCTAAAAGTTGGAAAGAGAAAGAAAAGAGAAAGGCAGTTGGTGGCTGGCCAAAGTAAAAAGCAGGATAAGAGAAGGAGATAATTATATAATTAAAACAAAGAAAGAAAAGAAATCTTGCAGCCCCTTATGACATTCTATAATTAAGCATAACTTTGGTTGGTGTATCTCTTTAAAGAGAAACAACTTATCTGTTCGTGCCATTTCATTGCTAAACAATGTTTTGATTGTTCACGTTCAACTTATATTCTGAATAAATAGGGTGAAAATATAATAACACTCCCATTCCAAATCCAAATTCTACAATACCAGGAAAAGGAACAGGTAAGACCAACGACATAATAATGAACAAAAGAAACCTCAGAATACAAACTGTAGAGTTATCCTTTTGAGATGGTGATATTAAGCTCTCAAAGGACAGTTATCAGTCCCCACAAAAGGCTGCAATAAATTAGGTCACCTCCATCCACCAGAACTTCACCACAGCCAGTCCTATGACTGAATAAAAAAGCAGGAAGTTTGGGCTTCGGGCTAGCAATCCAACCCCTTAAAACGTTCACTGCTATTGAAACAACAGACACCACTGAATGAGATCTGATTGAAATTATTGGAAAGCCCAATGTGCTGTACAGCATTGGTGGACCTAAGTAATATCTACTGGCATACCGCATCTGGGCTGCACAAATCCAGATGATCACAAAATGTCAACAAAGACTTCATGTTTTCTGTACCGTATATCTTTACTGCAATCTGGTACTGGTCCGGATTTTTGCAGCCCAGATAGGATATTCCTACGTCTGTTCACATTTTTGGCATGATTTTAATGGAAAGTGTTAATCCATCTGATCTTTTCAAATACTGAATCATTAATAAGTTATAGAGAGTCCCTCCATGTGTGGAGCTCCACACTAAAAGAGGCTCTGGGCTTATCTGCTCCAAAGACCTACTGAGATTATTTCTACTAGCCAGTCTCCCTTTTTTCCTTTCACATTTGTGGTGGGCAGTACAAAGAAATGTCACATACCAAAGGGGACTAGGAGGAAATAGAAATTAGTAAATAGCTGCAGCTGCCTTCAGTGCTTTGATTCTGAAAGCCACTAACACGTTGCTCAAATATTTTTAAAAGTGAAAAAGAGATGTCCATCTGTATTACTGCCACCATCTATTAAGCTTACAGGTGGGCTTACCAAGGTACACTACTGGAGACATCAGATATGAAAGGGCAGGATAGCAAATACTTTGTCCAGCATCATTTCAGTCTTGATGTTGTTCCTGGCTTTATTATGGATGGATTCACATCTCACAGTAAGTGGCTTAGACTGACTAATATATGTGCCACCAACTTACAGTTGCACCATAAAGCTCTGTCATCATAGTCAGTGGCTTTCCTGAGGTAAAATGAGTCACCCAAATCCAAACTCACCACTATGTTTGGTTAGCATTCACTGGAATTTGAAACCAAGGTTAACTGTTAGTTTGAGCTTAGCAGGCTATATGAACCCAAAAACCCTGTGGTTTAGTGAACACATGGTATTTAATTTATAGCCTAATGTAGTACCTGAACCGAATCATTGCTTTGCATTCCTAAACTCCAATAAGTGGAAGAATATTTCATGATAGCGTTTTCTGGATCAGTATCTCTCTCTCTCTTAATATATCAGAATATTATAGAGACTGAGAAGACAATGAGAAGGCATTCACTGAAGCAATGCTATTCTGCAAAAGTGAGCATCAATTCCTCCAAGCAGCAGCTGAAAAAAAATCAGCTGTGACAAAAGAGAAAGGGAAGGTGCAAAACTGTTTAACCAGAGAGGTTGTGACCTGAATTCCAGTGGCTCAGAGTCATTAAAGCATCAGAGACCACAGGAAAAACAACTTCAGCTCTTCCCAATTTTATACAAAATGAGAAAGATTTGCAAATGCAAAAAGCAGGATTCCATCAATAACTAGTGCACAGGAAGTTCAGAGCAAGTGCTTCTGGGGTTGAAGTCTAAATATTCAAGATAGTTTCAACATACTTATGTAACCCAGTTT